AAAAATAAATGCATATTACATTAAAAATACTGAGTATTTTTTGTATCATGTAGAATTTTTTTTTGATCGTAATTTTTCAACATTTCGTAACGCCTATTTTAGAACCAAAATAAGGCCTTTCACTCTTCCCCGACGCCTATTCAAGAGATTGTACGGTGTATTGTTTGTTTTGTGCATGTGTTGTGGACAAAAAATGACCACGCCCATTTAGTGATTGCAATATGTACGTAATAGAAACTGCACCCCGAACTTGAGCTTTTGATCCCAATTTTTAAATTGATACATTGTAATATAAACCGCGGTTTATAATAGGACTTTAACGGTATTTGCAGCAAAAAAAAATACTTCCATTCACTAAAACCCCTCTAGTGTATCCCTTCTGAAGAATATCGATTGTGGAAACCAAATTACATACAATGTTTGTATTTTTTCTCTCTCTCTTGTCAGGCCTGAAGTCAAATCTAAAAAAGGAAAATTAATGGGAGACTACTGATGAAGAAAGAGTGTGCATTTTTTTTTTAGTTGCTCCTGCTTGAAATACATTTGAAGTACTCATTTTGCTGAATTTTAGTTTTTATATAGTGTTGTGTACATGTAGACTTAAACCTAAAAATATCAATGTCTACTTTATCGTCTGTGATCATGTATCACTCAGAGCAGTCTGTTCTTGTATCACTCAGAGTGAGTGGTCTATAATAATGTTTTCTTGTCGCAAGTTTCTCAAGACTTGCGTGACTGCACTTGAATACTTTTATTATTGCATTGAATGAATGTCTTGTATGTATGTATTTATTGATTGGTCATCCTAGTCTATGTAAACACTGCATGATCTGTATATAGTAATGGCATTATTTAAATGACTAAAAAATGATTTACTAGACAAATGCCTTTTTGCCATCATCTTTGGACAGAACACTAGAATCTGAATATTGCTAAATTGGAACATTTTCAACATTGCATTGTATGTATACAAGGATATTTAAATACTTCTAGTGATGCATGTAGATCAGAACACAAAGTAATATTTCATGACCGTAGTGTTCAATTTGTCCAGAGATATTTGTAGGATATTTATTCATTTTAATGGTTTGAGTACATCGATTCATAACATTCCATGTGAAGCATTGTTTTATTTTTTGCATATTTCACCGTGGTTTATACTCTTCAATGACCTGTCAGAGACATGTAGTTATAGTAAGTTAGATTACTGTTTGTATAATCCCACCTGAAGTGGGTCTTATTTATGTAAATAGAAATAAATTTTGTATCTTATTTCCTTTTATGTGTTTGTCTTCATTAGCATGGGTAAAACAATTGGGGGTGATAATTCCATAATTTGATGGCCTGACTTGAAGAAACTTTTGAGATTGGAAACATGAAATTTAGATTAGCTGGTACAAGAGACAAGGAGTCATCGGCTGATATTTCTTGTATATTACAGTAGTGCAATATCTGTTGAATTAGAAAGTTTAGGTAACTGACTTCAATCTTGATCTGTGGAATATTTCAGAGTGCCTATGCACCAAGCAAGTTTGGTTTATTAATATTCAGATTTCCACCAAGAACTAGTTGGATCTGCATGTTATTAAAGAATTAAAGCATATGTACCAACTTTTCATTGAAAGCTGTCTATTGGTTGATGTATTGGTGAAATCAAAATTGGGTAATACCTACATTCTTTTGATTTTGCTCAAAGGCAAATTAATGCCTGTTCGGAGAAATGACTCTGCCCATTAACATAGATTCAAGATGGCAGCGATATTACTGCTATTATAAACATCAATTTAAAATGCAGTTTGTTACCTCTGCCAATAATTTAGAAACTTGTGTATAAAGTTCTCAACATTTGATAATTGTACAATCCAAAAGTGGTCTTCATGTTCTTTGATTATAGCTATTTTTACACCACTGCTCATAAAGCGGTACAATTAGAGATATTTTGATTCAGTTGGATTTTAATAATTGGTGCTAGCTCCTTGCTGTGTCTACACTTGCATTTCATAATGAACCTTGAGGTAATAAATTGTTTTTCAAATGCATCATTAAGGAAAGCCAAGCTTTCTCTTTCCAGGTTAAATTACTATCAGAAGATCGATTTAAAACCCATTGAAATCAAGAATGAACTTTTTAGCTAAATAAAGAACAAATATCCAAGCATTGTTATTTTATTAATAAAATACATATAAATTGCCAAAAAATACTGTACAGTCAGATTTTTGTTTCAATGAACAAAATCAGTGATAAATGCTTAACATTCAATACTACTTTCTCAAAGTGAGCTGGTTGAAAAGTAGAACTCTTATACGAATGTACTGATGACACCTTGTGGTGACTACATGCGATGATGTATCACTCTCTTTCTTGAGCACATGAAAACTACCATGCTTAAAGATGGCTGTGAAAAACACTGGATGACGTGATCTATTACAACATGTATATTAGTGGCAATGTACAAAATAAACAAAACGGTAAGGTTTCAAGATTGTGGTGATCAAAACACCAACTAACAAGTACCTATATTGGATGAATGGTGCATGTCCACCCAATACACGACTGGTGGGATCAAAACAATGGTCAAACAGGAGTAGACTTTAAATGACGAGTCACACTTCATTCTATGATATCCAAAAGATGCGTCTCTAGATAAATAGTTGACAACATTCTAGATTCTTGATACATTCTAGATTCAGCTACTGTATCCACTATAAACCAATTTAGGCCACAAAAACAGGTTTTACTTCTTGTCATGCGCATGTCAGTTTGAAACCTGCGCCTCACGCATAATGTTTGCTATTTTGCACTACATATGCTAGAATGCAAAATGTTTTCCGTTTCAGAGGATGTTTTGTTTCGCAAAAATCAACCTTTATGTATGCATTCAAAAGCATTATTTACAAAATGTTAAACATGGAACTTGTATATCTTGTGTATTAAATAATCTTAATACAAAAAAATAATTAAACCATGTCACTACACATCATTTTTCAATCTTCCTTAGGACGACAACCAAAATCTATTATTTTTTGGGTGGCCTTAAAGGCAGGATGAATGGGTATGGGAAATTGTATTCAGTGTAATAAGCGTGTCCAAATCATATGCACCAGATACTGAACAAATATTAACTTCAAGCTATCTATTTCCTGGCATTTAGGTAATACCATTAACCTTTTCACCACCACCTCTCTCTCTTTTCATCACAAATTCACAAAATAGTTCCGTTTATAGTCTGCACTTTTTTTTCATAAAATTGGGTACTAAAATAGCTAAATTTGTTGAGTAAAAACTGGAAATTTACTCAAATTTAGTTTTTTTGGCTCTAAAATTAGAATTCATTTCCAAATATATTGTAGAATATAAGAAAATAGTGCAAACAAATTGAGACGAGAAAGTCTGGTGGTGAAACTGCACTACTAGAGTCACTCCATATGTCAGACTATTTTGACAGATACAAATGTACTGTAGACTATGGCAGCAATGATACACTGACTCCACAGTGGTTCATTATTGACAATGTTACACTCCGTCTCCTTGCATCCAGATCATAAAGGACCAGAATAAATATTTAACTGTCTCTGTCTATGCTTGTCATATCTCTCAGTTGTTTCTCTGTAAAAAAAACAAACAATATAACAGCAGTTATAAATTTGGAAAGACAAGAGTACCAGTACCTGTTGGTTCAACTTAAATTATTCAGCTATTTTCAACCAACACTTGTAACAAATGCATGTTATTACATGTTACATGTACAATGTAGTCATAAAGTTTGATAACAATCAGTCAAGTAATGGTAGAGATAACATTTCTGTCATTTGGCTATTTTGAATCTTATCTGAAAAACAAAATGATGTGCATCACAGCGCCATAATGTCCAATGTATGTATTAAGTTTGGACAAAATCCATTCATACATTACCAGAATGGCAGAAATGCTTGATTTTGATAACATTCAGCTATAATTGAATATGATCATCAAACGAATACATGTGCTTATGTGGGACATGATGTATATATCAAGTTTAAACAAGATCAGTCAAGCCATATTCAGAATCGAAATAACAAGCATCAATGTTCGATGTTTGTACTAAGCTTTGACAAAATTCATCCATACATGACCAAGATCTGGTTCCGGAATGGCAGAAATACTATGATGAATTCCTCACACAAAAATGGCTGCCATTCAGCCATTTTGAATGGAACAATGAAAGGAATGGATGTGCATACAAATATGTATCCCAAGATGTATGTGTGAAATTTGAATGTGATTGGCTTAGGCATGTCTGAGATAAAAATGGACATTCATGAATGCACGGATGGATGGATGGATGGATGGATGAACAGTTGGATAAAGGTTAATCAGTAGGTCCCTGTTTTTCAGGATTTGGGACTGTGTCTACCGTAATCAAGGACTAAAGCACTATTGTCATTTTACATGTGTTGAATTTGTCACATAGGACACATATTGAAAACATTGAAAACATTGAAAACCGCATTAACATACATGTATGAGAGAAAAAAAAACACTTTCCTGTAGCCAAACACATAGAAGATCATATGGTAATAGACTAGCAGTGAAAATCAAAGCTAACTTTAACTCACCATAACTGAGGGAGTTGACAGGGACTTACGTTTTACCAATTTACGTTCCTTTTTAACGGTATGTATTCTTGATCCACCATAAAAGATTACTGGAAGAATACAGAAAAATACTGACAATGCAATAATCAGGATAGGTTCTTTTACTGGTCTTCTACAATCAAACTGTTTACTCCACAAGTACTGTGTGTAGTTCATCTATAAAACACAATAGAAATAAATGAATTTCAATCCAGATGACCTCTAACCTAATTCCAAGCTACATTTCAAAGTAGCATGTGTCTATTATTACAAAATAAAACAAGCAGCCTCTTGGCTAAGATATCTCCACTGTTAGCAATGCACATTTCAATCAAAGAATTGAAGATTTCATCACAAAATGAACAAATCTGAGAGAGGACCACCTGGAATACCTATATGTATAATATCAAAGCAATTGAACTTACAGTTTTTAACAAGTCGAAAATATCACTTTTTACCGAAAATGACACAAATATTCATTAAATTAAGAGAATCGAAGATATCCAGAATTAAACAAATCTAAGAGAGGTCTACTAAGCAATCAGGCAAGTCTAAGCAATCAGGCTTCTAGTTTTCAAGAAGAAGTCAAAAAAGTTGAAACTGACAACGAATGCCGAACAATCACTCATATGATAAGCTCCAATGGACAAAGTCATAGAGGTCCACCCAATTAATACATCTACAAATCAACTATCAAAACAATTAGCTTGTAGTTTTCATGAAGAAGGTAATAACTTACATAAATCGCTCTGCTCAGTCTTCGACGACAGGAGAGCTAGCAGTGAGCCCATACTTTAAGTTGACTCTTACCACACAATTGTGAAATACTAGTTTTTTAACTACACAATAATAAATATTGCTAACATACAACTCACAGAATCAACAATGTCCATACAGATTTCTTCCTCCGAACCAAGACTCAAGAAAAACGTTGTCAGATTGCGATAAACACTTTGACAAAGATGACAAACTGTGTTGTTTGCAGGAGATGTTGTTGATTCAACCTCTGAGTGGTGGACCTACAAACAAAAAAGATCATCGATAATAATTATTATTGATAATACAATAAACACAATCTACTCTATGCAAGCTTTATAACATAACCGAACAGTTACATGTAATTACCAGTTACCTGAATAGCAAATTACTCGTCAGGTTATCTCAAACTGAATCCACATGTCTGACACTACAGTATTACTGTATAGGGCTAATTCTTTAGGTAGATTTTATTTTTGCTTATTTTGCCGATAGCTAAATTAAATAAAACCCAGTGATTATACAAAGTTAACTATAGAATGTATTCATTCCTGCACAGTGAATTGGACATTATCAAATCTGCTAAAACAAAAGCCAGTGAATAGCTCCCTCTTTACAGTAAAACTTTCCCTGCTGTACGATTTTCACCAGGGAAAACCAAGGGTTCACCACGACAAACACAGTAGCAAGAAGCTCACCTATAAGTACAGAGTGAGAACAGACCAAGTTAGATTTGGCACAAAGATGATACTTACCATTGTAGAGTTAAAAAAGCAATCAGTAGTCTTGACAAAAATAGACTCAAACTGAAGCATGTCAGCAGAAACTTCATACACTGTTGTTTGGTTTACGCTTTTTATAGTAAAACAACCTGTCAATAAAATAAATTTTTTTAACTGACATCGAGACAAATGAAGATCTGCATACAGATATTTAATGAAAGTTTTTGAAAGAATTACATTTAAATAAACAAACAAGCATAACCATGTCTGCCTGGGAGTAAATCTTTATTTATATACTGCTTCAGGTTATGTAATTTTTCATTGGTCAATTTTTATTGTAAATTATTATTATTATATAACAATAATATACTATTAGTGTGAAATTTCAAATAGAAGCACAAATCATGGCCCGATCAGCAAATCACTTGACCAATATAAGACTAAATTGGAAAAGTTTGAATATCAGCTTTTTGCCATCGCAAAAAATTAATGTTTCTGGTCAGAAAAAAGTGCATGTTGATCTTTTCTTTATCTAACTTATCTTACTAATAAATAGCACCCTCTGTTGACGAATTGATTAAACTTGCAACATTTGTGCACCATGAAATAATTGCAGCACCTGTCACATTTTTGAAAAAAAAATCAAACCAGAAAAAGGTCATCAGAAACTCCATCATGTGAAGTATTCATATAATGTAATGTAATGAGATGGTTAATAATGACCAGTAGGTCAAACATATTGAATCAAAAAACAATTTGATTAGAATATGTATACAGGGCTTAAACTTTCTAGTTGAGAAGGCTCCCATATTCAAAGCCAAAATTGCTAAATTGCCTTGACAATTTGAGAATTGATAAAGGCAATATTGAAGGGCACCAAAGCAAACTCATTAGACATCAAGACAATTGCCTTCAATGTCTGAGAAATGGTTCACGACAGTTGAGATCTTGTGTCCCTAGAATGACCATGGAAGGTACTAAGGGAAGGAGCCACAACGCTATTGTTTTTGCTTTACCCTATGATCGTTTGTCAGTGTATTTTCACAAACATTGTTCTTGTTAGCTTTCAGCACCTTCGTACAATGGGTTACGCTAATCTTGAGCATTTGGTAATATTCGGAGCATGTTCGGAAGCGATAGTAGAACCTCGCATGTACAATATTAAAAAAGGGCGTCTAGTTTGAATGCTGTTGTTTCCGGAGATCTTGGCGAGCTTTAATGGAAAATTGTTAGATATAACATTGATTGAAGAAGAACTGATGAAATATCGTGAATTTTGTATTTGTAATGGTAATGAGACTTAATCAATGATTGTTTGTGACGATTGCATTATTCAATGGTACCATTGTCAGTGCGTGGGTTTAGCGCCCGAAACTGTAAAAATTTTTGACCACCGGACACCAGCGAACACCAACAGAAAAGATAGTATCGAAAGAAGAGCATGCATAGACACTTTCTCTGTGATAATATTTCTTAGGAGTCCTTAGGAATTGTTGTTGTATGCACTCGAAATCTTGCTAATAATTAAAACATGTGAAATTTGTGAAGTCAAACGTTCATCCGTTGACTTTCCGGTTGTGAAATACGTATTTTGACCTTGCACACCTAAACAAACCCAGTGCGCATGTGTGATGACCGTAGTTTCATAATGCGCATATATTTTATAGTCACATTAAAAAAATGGTGGGGTTGTATCATACTCCGCTAACTTGTTACTTGTGTAAACAATCGCAAACTATCATTGACATCAAAGATGAGCTAGACAATGGCCTTATCAGGATTAATTTGGGTTGAAACAAAAGGAAATAAGCCAGTTAAGAGGCTTAATTGGCCACTTGATAGCCTTCCATGGTTACTAGTAACCGTGGTACCTTCTATGGAATGACTAATCATTTGATTATGTCATCAAAACAAATATAATGTGCATCTGTAAAATACATGTATCAACACTGAACATAATCCTCCCAAGGCAGGTCTTTGACACAGATAGAGTGAACTTATAACACAAGTCTGCTTTCAAGGCTACCACCGGAATGTTGCCTTATGTAAACAAAAACAAACACCAGATATGAACTGTACTTTTCTATATTGACATTTCATTCATAACTTACCATCACAGTTTGACTGTTCCCACACATCAACAACAAATTCATACATCTTATCAGTAATCATGATCTTATCCTTTCTCAATAAGATAACATCACATCTGGCTTTATCCTAATAACACAAAGAAATTAAATACTGTAAAGGGGGTAATTATTCACTGGGTTTTAATTTTGCTTATTTCGTTGACTGGAAAATGCGCTAAATTAAAACCCAGTGAATATGTAAAATTTAGCATAGAACACATTATCTAAATGACGAAACCGTGAATTTAAAACCCACTGAATATGCCTGAAATGGTAAATCAGTGAAATTTAAACCCAGTGAAAAATAGGTATTTTACAGTATTGTGAAAGCATGTAGCTCAATGGAACAGTATATGAGAAGACAAGAAAGAATTAGAGTGGCTCTCTTGCTCTCAATGAGATCTAGGAGGCCATGTTCGACTAAAAAGTGTTTTATTTTTGCTTTCAACTTGGCTTCACACTGTAAAAATGTTGAAGCTCTACCAAGAGTCAAATATGTTTATATTTTGTTTTTTACATTTTTACACCATTGTTTTCTTAATTGTAGCAAATCTCAGCATCAAAATGTTCTAAGATCTGAGAAATGAACTCGCACTCCAAGATCATTCATAAATATTAATTGGGATCATTGTAAACTATGGGAAATATGTGCTAAATAAAAAAGTTTAATTCTCAGCACATCCAAATCCGTGTTTAAATTCATACCATCAAATATTTAACATAATATTTGTCTGTAGTATTCTTGTCGTTCACTAATGTTGAATTCTTTTTAAATCAATTTTTATATTTCATGTACTTTTACTATTTACTTTATTAATCTGAAAACCTAAAAGGAAATGTTAACTCTTTCTTTACGGTATTAATAAAGCATTATTCTATTCTATTCTATTCTAATTTGAGACCCGAGGACTTTTTATGAAAGATCTAAGAATACTAGTACAACTTTTATAATAACAATAATAACTCCACTGCTTTAATATTTATTATACTCACCACTAAAATATCATTAAATGTCTTTTTCACATCAAGATATTGGTTAACACAGTCAACACAGAAATGCAACGGTCTAGAATGCAACACTGCACAGTTTGTGAATTTCGAAGCAGCCTGTCCAAAATTTTGAAGAAGCTCAGTACACCTATGAGTTGAAGGTTGAAGAGTCACGGGGGTAAATTCTGTAATTAGATTTGAAGATGGGTTTACAGTTATTAAGGGAACGTCCATCTTGCCATTGTTTAGTCTATACATAGTATTGTCTACACCTGTGTTTTGCATAAGACTGTGATAGGCATCGGAGAATCCGGAAGTGCCGTTGGAGTCCGAACCTCTTGCCATATCTATCGCCGAGTTATGTGTCAGATTGTGAGAAGGCACCGTCGACAAATGTTCAGTAGTTCGACAGAAATGTATACAGGTAAATAAAATCAATATTGATAACCTATATCCCACAAATGTCGCCGAACTAGAAAATATCGACGTCTCTAAGCCGACGGCCATGTTGAGCGTGTGATTGTTTGTTGTTGCTTGTCTCCTATATACGAGTTAAACATACCGGTTTATTGCAATTTTGTATAAGACCAGTAGGATTTCGATCCATATTGACACTTGCAATGAAGTAAACGTACATACACGAGTATCTTGCATATTGGTAGTTGAAAAAATTGACAGCGCATGTTGGAGTAAAGTGTGACCCTAACACTGCCAAACAGCTGAAAGGTCGCAGGTCACAGGGTATCTAATTTACTCCACATGTTTTGGGTGAATGTTTCGGAGATCGTTAGCAATGGAGAAGCTGACATTCTACAAACTGATGACACGTTTAATAAGCAGGTAAATATATATATTTTTCGAACTAGAGTTGTTCAAATTTCTAGCAGTGGTTTTGCAGCTGGGGGGTCATATACTTGTACGATCGGGATAATCAAATAACCGGTGCACAGCGAATCCAACTGCTTTAAAGAATGATAGAAATACTATGACAATTTCTCTCATGTAAATTATCTTCAATGCTACACTACGCTAATTAATTAATCTTCAGTGTAATTACTTATCTTCTTTATTACGTTTCATGCCAGTTTTTGTCTTCATTTTACCTTCTATCTGAGGATTTGAAAATCAATAAGTCATGGATAGAAAGTCGAAAACTGAACAAAACCGATAATAAAGAAGAATTGTTGAGTTAAAACTTTTACTGAATAATTATCAGGATATAGACCTGTTATTAAATTAAATATACTTATTAAATATTTTATTATTCAACTAAAGAATGATCATGGCATGTTAGTCAACATTGGAAATAATATTGTTGTAAACCATAGAATATATACAGATGAACAA